AAAACCATTTCTCATGTATTCATCTTATCCACCATAATACTACACCCGAAATTTTTTTTCCAATTTTCGGAAAATTTTCTGATCCAACCGTAAACCTTTCACATTACCTCTCCTTCAGCACCCGTCTTTCCACTCCTCTCGCTACCAGACAGGTCCACCAAATTCAACCTCGAATTCAAAGATACCTCAAAAAATAAAACAACAATAACACTTTCATACGACCAAAGATTTTCATAGTAATACAATCTTCGCTGTGCGCTCTCGAATCTGTCAACGCAACAAACCACCACAAAAAGTCTGAAAATATCCACATGTATGTTGAGGAAATTTTCAATGGCTTCTGTACAGTTCTATTCGAATTCGTATGTAGAATTCGCTAATCAGTGAGGAAACTCCTGAGCTCAGGTGAGAAAAGCGAACATAAGGAGCGATATTTTTTCCTATGCAAATTCAAAGAATTTGAGTTTCTCGTTAACGACTGAGAATTTTGAGCTGAAAATTTAACAAAGCATAGATCTAACGATTTATTATATACTATGTGAGCTATCATTTACTAAAATGGAATTGTAATATTCGTGACCGTTACTGACATTCGATCGAGAAAATCACCACCCAGATCCGTGCAGTTTTCCGCATAGAAAAGCGAAAACCAAACGACATTATGCAATCCCTATTCCATCTAAAGTAAAACTATTAATACCTTCGCTTCGTCAACCTCAGCCTCTCCATAATCTTCTACATCGTCCCTGGCCGTTCCTAAGCCGCAGTAGTTTCCACGAAATTACCCTCAGCTGAGCTTGAAAATTTCCTCGCAAATTATAGAAGTTTATACATGAATTCGGGTACGATATAATTCGATATAATTCGATATAATACGATATGAATTCGGGGTGTATAGAAACAGACGGAAATTCCCGTCACGCGCCACAAAATTCCAAATCTAACCCATTGATATTTTCCAAATTAAATAATTGCAGTCGTGCCAGTTGCATAAACTTACTTTCCAATCTCACTGTGAACACAGCATGACTACGACTACTATGCGAATTCATATTCGTCGCCCCTACCACTCGCCGCCTAATTCCATAATCCATTAAACGCTGCACCTACAACAAATCGATATCTCAAATTACGGTACGTACTAAATCATAAAAATATTCTTTTCTTCAGAAAAGTTTGAAATTTTTGGAAAAAATTCTCTTTTTTTAATGAAAATTTTGGGTGAACATATATTACGACTATGGGAAACTAACTTCAACTACGGTACCAGTCTTACAAGACTATATATTCGCTCTCTCACTAACCATAGAAGATCTCAAATTACGGTACGTACGAGATCATAAAAAATTTCTTTTCCTCAGAAAATTTTGAAATTTATGGAAAATTTTTTCTCTCTTTTAATGGAAAATTTGGGTGAATATATATCACGACTATGGGTATGACTCTCACTAACCTTAGAATTTAGGAAAAAGGTATCCGAAAAACCAACGAGAATTTCCCAAAATTTTTCTCACAATTTTCATATTATCACCAACACACGTAGTTGACCATTTACATATTTTCCTACACTGAAAAAAGTGAACAAAAAATCTCCCAAAATTTCCTCAAAATTTTCAAACATGTGCATATTTTCCTATCACCACCTCGTCAACACTTTCCACAGGGCATTCTGAAAT